GTGAAAACATTTTATGGAGTGTATGTTTACGAAATATTCTTTTTATCATTGTCAGTATCGATGTTTTTTTTTTATCATTTCTGTTGGTTCTGGTAAACTGAAATCTTTACAAGACATATTTTCAGAATTCAAAATTTCGTTTACATGTAAAAGAGCTTTATTTTGATTATCTTTACAATCTTCAATGTAAAGTTTTTCGTATTTGTTCAAAATAATATTACCAAATAAAATTTCTCATCTTTTAAGGCTTACAAAAATATTAATACAAACCTTTTTTAAAAAAAATTACACTTATAACACAACAAAAGGGGGGGTTGGCGCGCGGAGCGCGCAGGGGGGCGGAGCCCCACTAATAAATATATATGTTTATATAAAGCCAGTGTGATTATATTAAAAAAGGTTCATTTTTAACTTTAATTGCACACAGGTTTTATCGTACACATTGTGACACGGCAGTTTGACGACTGGAAAGCAATTGTACGTTCTCCTTATCAAAATGGTCGTTTGTACGACCACAAAAAAAAGGGAGGAAGGAGGAAAAAAAGTAAAGAAAAAGAAGAGACCCTTGACTCTCACCACACATTTTGAGAGAGCTTGGGACACATTAAAGTGTCGTTTCACAACATATAATAGCCACAGACAACTATCACTATTTCAAATATACAAGTATGTAATATACTTTTTTTTTAAATTCAATTCTTTTAAAAACTAACAGCTCCCTGTCTCGAATTAGTCCGAGAATCACTGAGTGTGGCATCAAGGTGTGTTGACACGTAATTCTTATTAAAACATTTTTATTCAGAATCCATACTGTTTTGGTCAAATAATAAGCTGTGAGAAAGTTTAAAAAATAGAATGATTCTAAAAAGTACCGTGCGTTCCTTACGCCATAAAATAGTTGTTGGCCCTAAAGAGCCGTTGATTCGCACTTTTTTACGTTATAATGAACTAGCAGCCCCCCGTCTCGGCTTCGCCCGAGACTTACAAAATGGAACACCGTAGTGTGTTGACATGTAATGTGAAACGTTTTTCAGTTAAAAAATTTTACATTTATTCCTGACACTTCTCAGAACAAAAATCTATTTATTAAAAACATATTTGTTCGCAATCCATACAGTTTATTTGGTCAAATAATAAGGTGTAAGAATTAAAAAATCATAATTATGCTGAAAAGTACCATGCATTCCTTATGCCATAAAATAATCGTTGGCCATAAGAAGCGGTTGATTTGCAGTTTCTCCCGTATAATTTACGAAAAGGGCTATTTTTTAGAGCTGTTAAGATTTTAAACTCCCAGAAAATATATATTACAAAAACTTCTTTTTTTTCACCTCACAACTTTATTACCAGAGCAAAAAAGTCCTCAGTTTTTTGACGCCTGAAATTGTATTTATCAGATACATTTAAAGTTTTTCTTCCAATTCACTCTCTTGTGACTTTTGGCATGCTTAAGACTTGTGACCCCTAAAAGCTGTTTTCTGTCAACTTTGTTAAGTTCTAATATATTTGTTGGCAAGCCCTAGACTGATCAGGAAAAAAATTACAAAGTCTGAAGCTCTGGAGCTAGTTGTAGAGATCTTTCCCAACGTCTCCCGGTACAACATCGAAGACGTTGGTGTCTAAAGCACCTTTTTTTTGCACACTCAGTTGTTTTGAGCGATCTAAGATGGGGAGATTGGTTCTTGATGCTTGCCTGTTGGAGACTGTCCCGTTGGCTTAAGTTTTTGATTCCCTTTCTAGCTGTTAGGTTCGCCCAGCGCAGACCTTGGAGAGGATCGGTGATTCCTTATTAAATGCTTAGAGTCAAGAGGGTAATATAGGGTCGTTAGATAGCGGGATTTCCAGCTTTGCGAAGAACAACTCTGCTCGTGATGACTGCCAGTGAATGACTGACTAGGTTTATAAGTGGTCGTCTTTAGTTGATATAGTCTCTTAGTTGAAAAATCGCTTCTGGAAATGGTAGTGTATTTGTTCGCAAGGTAGTTTAAACTTAGGTGGTCCTTAAAAGAACCAATGAGATTGATGGTTAAGTATGGAACGTGAATATTATTAATAGCCCTAAAAAGGGCCAGTGGTAAAACTTCCAGCTATTCCTTATTATTATTCCTGATGATCAAGAGCTGGCTGCGGGTAGCTTGACTCTTACCCTCGAAGTCTCTGTGCATGGAGACTATGATGGAGAGAAATACGCCACTAACCAAAGAAAATCTGGTCTTAGGGTCGTTCTTCGAATAACCAACCGCTCATCGTTAGTCGGGAAAAAGTGGGTATGCCGTTGGGGATACGATCACTGAGAAGGGAGCCGTTCTGGCTGCTTGTGATCCTCAGGGCTGTCTTTCCTGGTTTACATTTGTAGCCAAAAATTCTCTGACGGTCCCAGGCAGGATGATGGTACAAACACATAACTCTAAAGTGGTGAAGCAGGTTGTGCTCTGGCTAGAAACGTCTCCTGATATTCCTCTGGAGACTTTATTGGGTAAAACAACATTTTGTTGGTTACACTCGTCAATTCTCGAGATTTAGGGTAATAGTAGACCTGGGTCACTTCAGAGAAGAGTGTCATCGGTAACCGGGTTTCCCAGCTGCACGACTATCATCTAAATTCTCGATACAGCTCGATGAACTGCCAGTAGACAACTGCAGAAGTTTTTTTTGCAAAACTTTTGTAGAACTTCTAAATCAAAATTAATAATATGAGAAATATATATAAAAAATCAAATAAGGTGATGTTTTGGTTGTATGAGATGAAATGAGAACTTAGTCGTGAGATTGTAATTATATATAGTTAAATACTTCATTTATAGTTAACATGTTAACCCTCAAAAGTTATTGTTTGAAAATTTTTTTCGTGTCGTGCATGAAACAAATAACCTAAAATTATACGAGCCTCATTTGGTAAATACGACAAACATTTTACAACTTCTTTATTTTGGACCACATAATTTTAATAACAATGAAAGCGTTGCGAG